GCTCCATGTGGTCAATAAATAAATAAATTGCCCCGTGCGTAGACTAAAAGACCACACTACAGAATAAACAAAGCAGATTCGCTGAAAGCACAAGCAGCTAAAACATCTACCGCAGGTTGAATGTGGGCGTAGGTGACATCCGATCGAAAGACAAAAAAATATCTCTACCAATCTCTAGATTTAAAAAATACACAAATATTTATAGTGGCCTGCTGAACCTTCCAGTTAACTGTTGATACAAAATGTTTAATTTGCAGAGAATGACTCAATGTCAATTTTCGAATTTGCTTATAAACAAAATTTGAATTTGCTTGTAAACAAAATTAAATTTGCGCCAATTTTTAGGCTTCAAAAATGCGGTTGCAACTGCAATGGACTTTGCACCTGTTTGTTTATGTTATGTAAGGCAGAAGATCTGAATTTTTCTTTAAAAAAAAGGTATACAAATGGTTCTAACACAATTGTGTGGACTTGATCTTGACTTTGTGGACAAGAGCACCTAAGGCGAAGAGAAAAATAGAAACAATAAACAAAAACAAACGCTTGGGAAATACCTGGCAAAGTACTCAATTGGCAAATCGAATTGTAAATTGCACCTATTCAAAGTTTCGTATTAAAAATCGTCTCAACTTTTACTTTCTGGCACACATTCGAATCGGCCAAGTGCAACAATTTGGTTTCATTTTTGAAAATGCCAAAAGAAAAGCAAAACGAAAAAAAAAACATAGCCAAATCGAAACTAAAAGTAGTTCAATTACTTTGATGTTCGTCTAAGTGCCAAGTGCACTAAATGCCCTTAAATGGCCATCCATATTATTTCTGAAAGAGAATAAAATAGAAATTCTCAAATGTGACTGCATGGCCGAATTTCTCTATAAACCAAACATGAATGGCTTTTGGCTAATGTCTTTTTTTTTTCAGATTAAAAACAAATTGTATAATTTTTATACTTTACTTGCGATGATGCTATGATGCTATGATGCTATGAATATATAATTCATCGCCATTTAAAATCCTTATACTTATGGTACATAAGCAAGGAGAGTACATTAACACAGTATTGTAGCTAGATAACTATTTGAGTATATAAGTATTGAATGCTTTGTATGATAAAGCAATAGTCTACAAATTTTATTTACAAATTTTAGTTGATATAAATAATAACTTTTATTATAAGTTATTCAATGAGTTAAAATTAGATTGTTAAAAGCAGATTATGTGCAGACTAAAAAATATGTAAATGCAAAAAAGTCGCTGGCACTAATTATTAAAGTCATCTGCAAATATTTTTCCCATTTTAGGTCAAGTACCATCAATAGAATGGCTGACTCAGGGAGTTCGCTTCAGGGCAAAGCTTTAATATACGTTCCAGGACTTCAATGAAAGCACATCAGTTACACAAGCCGCTATTCCCTGAGGTGTTTAGCACGAGCTATCGCTTATAATTCCCAATTGGCGCTGACCACAACAGAGAAAGCTCACACCAAAGCTATTAGCCAAGATGGTTTTAGCTCTTTTTTCCACCAACTTGTAACCTCTTGGACTTAACCCAGCTTAACTTTAAGACAGACGAATAAATTATTTATAAAAAAAATCCCAATTATTTGCCAACTAAGAATTTCACGCTGCGCCCACAAAAATATACCATAAATAATCTACATATATATGAGGCAATTATTAGGAAATGAGGTCAATTATTAAGATAATTTCTTTGTGCGCTCTCACTCTCCCTCTCGCTCGTCGCCTACATATACGAAGAGATCTCTCTCGCTCGCACACTCTCGCTCTTGAAGTGCATCACAGCTGTAATTTAGCTGTTGCCAAATAATTTCCCATAAACTATTGACCAAATGCCACACTGTCAGCTTAACAGACAGCCATATTTATAATAGATTTATTCTAATTAAATATCTACAGTAATTTGTATATTTGAATTTGAATGTGTATATATAATGAGAAAAAACATTAATTCTCTTTTTGAATAGCCTAAATTATTGCGCACTGCTGTTCGGGTGTCGAGCGAAATGGAACGAAACGAGACTGAAAACT